CCAACATCTGAGAGATCACAGAATACATAATGTATAAAGAGGCATGACGTGCTACCTTAATCTTTTTGGACACATTGCATTATTCAAGCATTGCACCACCTTCCAGATTACTTTTGAACTGCACACAAATCTCTCCCATGATGCTCTCTTGAAATTCTTCAAAATTATGACAGATGGACGGTGTTTTCAAAACCAGATAAAATCTCCAATACTGTACCCTCACTGGGAAAATTATTCCTTGTTCCAAACCAATGGCTTTCTGCAGTATCCAATGGCTAGGGATTGTACACTGTAACTTACTGCTCAATCTTTCAAAAATATCTGACAGAGTGTGTCATACAAGTCTAGGCCTGTTTCAGTCAGAAATACCTGTCTTTTCCTTTTGCAGAATTCCTGATTAAGAACGGGATTAGCAGGAAGATCAAGGATATTATTAGCAATAAAAATATCTCAACACACACCGATAGATTCTCAGACAAAACTACATGCTCCCAGTCACCCAATAATACCTGCTCATGTAGCCATTTTAAACATCAGTTCATCCACGTTGGACAAAAAATCTTCATACGAAGAATGGATTTTAAAAACTAATTCTCAGGAAAAAAAATCGCACAATCGCTCTACTGATGTGCTGGAAGCTTCTGCAACCCAAACAATAACATCTCCAAACTCACCTCTTTGCTAACTGCAGGACAGGATATCTTTGCAAAACAGACAGAAGACAGTGCACCACATGGAAACTCAAGCACCAAACAAATTGGTTTATTCTGGAAACAACTGAAATTAAGTATGAAAAATACAAATGGACAAAAAAGGTGCTACAATAGTTAGATGGGGGGGTGGTGCTTATGAAATCTTGCAAATTGTCTTTCAACTAGTCACATAATACCACAGCAATACTGAAATAACCAATAGACCAGCCAGTAGTTTCTTTTGAGTTGTAACAGTAAACAGATGCCTTTTTTTGCTTGGAATAAAAGGAATTCAGATCCATAGGAGATAGATTAGCAGCGACAGGGATTTGCTTTTTTAATCTTATGACCACTTTCTGCTTTTGTAGATCAGGACTTTTGTCAAGTGTTCATGAGGCTGGATTTGCACAAGAAACTTTTCAAAGGGGTCCTGAGAGTCCTCAACATTGAAAACTCTTGGCTTCAGGTTAACCATGGGCAAGGAAATCTTCTGCTGATTACCACGTACCATCCTCCCTCGGCTAAGAATCAATATTCTGCCATGTTGAAAGACACTTGGAGGAAGCACTGATGGTGGCAAGGGCACAGAATGTACTCCAAGTCGGGATTTCAATGTCCACCACCAAGAGTGGCTTGGCAGCAGCACTACTGATCCAGCTCGTCAGGTCTTAAAGGGCATAACTGCTAAACTCTATGTGCTGAGGGAACCAACAAGAGGGAAAAACATACTCGACCTCATCCTCACCAATCTGCCAGCTGAAGATGATCTATCCTTGACAGTATCAGTAAGAATGACTACTGCACAGTCCTGGTGGAGACAAAGTCCCACCTTCACATTAAGAATACTCTCCATCATGTTGTGTGGCACTATGACCGTGCTAAATGGGACAGACTTTGAACAGATCCAGCATCTCAAGACTGGGCATCCATGAGGTGCTGTGGGCCATCAGCAGCAGCAGAATTGTACTCCAACACAATCTGTAACCTCCATGGTGCAGCATACCCATCACTCAATGATTACCATCAAGCAAGGGGATCAACCCTGGTTTAATGGAGAGCACAGGAGGGCATGCCAGGAGCAGCACTATATCTAAAAATGAGGTGTCAACCTGGTAAAGCTACCAAACATGCCAAAAAACAGAAGTAGCAAGTGATAGACGAGCTAAGTAATCCCACAATCAAGGGATCAGGTCTAAGCTCTGCAATCCTGCTACATCCAGTTGTGAATGGTGGTGGGCAATTAAACAAATCACTGGAGGAGAAGTCTCCATAAATATCCCCATCCTCAATGATGGAAGAGCCCAACACATCAGTGAAAAAGATAAGTTTGCAGCATTCATAGCAATCTTTAGCTAGAAAAGGCGAGTGGATGATCCATCTCAGCTGTTCCAGTGTCCGCAGCATTATAGATGCCAGTCTTCAGCCAATTTGATTCACTCCACGTGATATCAAGAAATGACTGGAGGCACTGGATACTGCAAAGGCTACAGGCCCTGACAACATTCCAGCAATAGTACTGAAGACTCATGCCCCAGACCTGACACTGCTCTAGAGCTGTTCCAGTACAGTTACAATGCAAGCATTTACCTGACAATGTGTAAAGTTCCCCAGGTACATGCTGTACATTGAAAACAGGACAAATCCAACCTGGCTAATTACCGGCCCATCACTCTACTCTTGATCATCAGTAAAGTGATGGAAATTGTCATCAACACTGCTATCATGCAATGCCTGCTCAGCAATAACCAGTTTGGGTTCCACCAGGCCCACTCAACTCTTGACCTTATTACAGTCTTGATTTATACGTGGACAAAAGAGCTGAATTCCAGAGATGAGGGGAGAATTACAATTCTTAACATCAAGGCTAGATTCAACAGAGTGTGGCATCAAGAAGCTCCAGCAAAAACGTAATCATTGGGTATCAAGGACAAACTTTCTGGTGGTTGGAATTATACCTGCACATTGGAAGATGATTGTGGTTGTTGAAGGTCAGTCATCTTGGCTCTAGGGCATTTCTGCAGGGTTCCTCAGGGTAGCTCCTAGGCCCAACCATCTTCATCAATGACCTTCCCTCCATCATAATGTAAGAAGTGGCAATGTTTGCTGATGATTGCACAATGTTCAGCACCATCGCAATTCCTCAGATAATGAAGTAGTACATGTACAAATGTAATGGGTCTAGATAATATCCATGCTTGGGATGACAAGTGGCAAGTAACAGTTGCAATACACAAATGTCAGGCAATGACAATCTCCTATAAGAGAAAATCTAACCACCACCCCTTGACATTCAATGGCGTTATCATCCCTCACTATCAACATCCTTGCCAGTTACCGTTGACCAGAAGCTCAACTGGACTCGCCACATACACACAGTGGCTACAAGAGCAGGTCAGATGCTAGGAATATTGCAGCAAGTAACTCACCTCCTGACTCCCCAAAGTCTGTCCACTTTTGACAAAGAACAAGTCAGAACTAGGGCAGCAGATACATAGGAAGACCACCACTTGCGAGTTCCCCACTGTGCCATTCACCATCCTGACTTGGAAATATATCACCGTCCTTTCACTATTGTTGAGTCAAAATCCTGGAATTCCCTCCCTAACATTGTGTGTCAACCTACAGCACATGGACTACAACAGTTCAAGAAGGCAGCTCACCACCACATTCTCAAGGGCAGCAAGTGAACAGATGAAAATTCTGGTCAGCCAGCAATGTCCACGATCCACGAGTAAGTAAAAAAAAATCTGGCAGTAAAGGTTCACCCACTGCCCATTAGATGCATCAAACTGACCTCAAGTTCTGAGGGCTGGGATAGTTGCATGGATGGGATTGGTACTCAAACTCTTAACTTTAGACTTCTAACCTCATAAAACTCATTGCTTGATCATAATGAATCAGATGTTTCCCTCAAGAAATTCAAAGCAGAAGAGGCTGATTTTTGCACTACAACCAAACCCTGAAAGCACAGACATTTCTTCCATTCCAAACTTGCCAAGAGGAGAATTATGTCATATGATATGATTTTTCATGCTCATCCATTTGAGGGTAAGTGTATTGTTTATCAGAAAGTTTGACAATCAAAAAAGCGACAAACAAAAATGTTATTTTTTCACATCCCATTTTCCATTCCTGCCTAACCTGAATATTATTAAATTAACATGAAGAAATTTGACCCCCTTATGCTGAATCTTGCTTGCCGTGGTGGGGAGATTTGAAGGGATTTCTACCTTGGGACGTCTGTCTTTGGAAAAAGTTCCCTGACTGGAATAGGAGAAATGCAGGATAGTGTTGGGTCTGCAGACTGGAGACAGCCACACTGGATCTAAACTGGGATGAACTGGAAATTGAGTTGGACTTCAGGATCTGAGTTTTGACTGCCATTTTTAAGGGTCTGCAGAGTCTGAACAACTCCAGCCCATTATGTCTTTGTGTAAAATAAAGGAAAAGTAATGAACCACGCAAACAAAATCCCACATATCCTTCATGGAAGCTAGACCAACATGGTACTCCAGCAAAACAGGCAGACAATGGATTCCCAATAACATATATTTTCCCATTTATAGAAGTATAGCTTGTTGTTGGAATGATCTCTATGTCTTAAAGTACTAATCTATATTGGTGAAGATTTCACTGCTAGTTCAGTTCATGTATTTTCTGATAAGCAACATGAGTGGCATTGGCAGCAGTCTAAGAATTATCTTCCATTCAACAATGTGATTGGTGGGGAGTAATTTTATGAAAGATAATGTTTTAAGTAGGTATAATGTATCTGTCACAATCATGCAGATGACTCCATACCCAAAATTTAGGTTTGGAATCATCAGCTTTAGTCTGTTTGTTCTGCTTCATTCGTACTTGTACCATTGAAGTCATGGACTCAGGAATTTCAAGACTTGAGAGAAGATATTTACTTTAATGTAAAAAAATGTAATCTTTGTGAAACAACAATGCAAATAAAACATTTCAGTAACAATGAATTCTTTTGTTTGTACCCAAAGTTTGTCTAACTGAAATAATCTTTGAGAGAATGTTTTTCCTTTTCCAAAATATCAACCACAGAAACTTTAAGAGAACATATTGACAATTCTATTACACATAGGATTACAGTAAATTTTCCCCATGGTTACTTTGTAATTTTTGTAAGTTGAGACTTACTATATCAAAGACACAGTTCTTATGTATGAATGAAATATTTTCTGAAAAAAACAGGTAAAAAATGCTACTGAAGTGAAAACAAATTTGCAAAAATCTGGTAAACTCTTGAAATAACTAAATTACTGAAGTAATTAAGAAAAAACTGCTTACAAATGAAAAATCCTCAGCGTTTTGGCACAGAAGCCGGGGAAAGACTGCTTGCCTCTGGAATCTCTCTTCATCCTCAAAGATGTTTCCATACATAAATCCATTCATCATAGTTGAATGTGCATGGATGTCAATGTAGAATTCCATGCTTGCTTTCTGTTAAAAAGGATAAAAGTCAACATAAAATGTAACTTGGAAAAACATAAACCAGCTTCAAGGTTGAAATGTTTTACTAAAAGAACTTAACTTTGCCTTCTCCTGAATAAGTAAAGGTCAATCCTTTAGGAGATTAATCCTAAGGTGAATGAAAGTATATTGCGCCAAGCGGTTGGCTGTGAAATTTGAAAATGGCAAGATGATGAGTTTTAAAGGAATTGCAACTTACAGTCATCTCAAATTTATAATTTTGTGGTTTGGGATGAAATTTGAAATGATGCAATAGATACTTTACAAGAATTGTCTCGATGCTTAATTCCCAGATGCGTTGTTTGTACATCTGTTGTGGAGAGAAGTTACTGAAACTATAATTACCTGCAAAATAAAAGGACTCCAAAAACAGTGGATAATGTGCTCATTTTAATTCAATGGGCCAGCCAGGAATATTTTACCATTTTGGCATACGTTATGAAAACATAAAAAGATCCTACATAAAGTACACACAAAAGATTCTCTTTTTGTCATACTTTACTTTGATTTTTAAATAGGTTTTCTTCATAACACGTTTTTCAATGTTCTTTTAACAGATATCTTGGAAAGTCATGCAGATGCATTAAGGTTTTATCTGTATCCACAGCAATATTGAAATTTCTACATCACTGAACTGAGCTCTGCAATGCAGGATTTCATATAATACCTTTTTTAATATGTTTGTTTTGAACTTTTGAGCAATAAATAATGAACTTTCTCTCTTCAGTGGTTTCTGTCACCATACATAAACAAAGTAAAACCCAGATTTTGAGAACCTGAAAATGTAGCATTATAAAACCTCTCCTGTTGGAAGCAATGAGAAGACTTAAATTTCTAATGAATAAGAACTGAACTGAACATTGTAACTCAAAAAACAAGTGATAAATAATATACATGAACATCACAACATTATCTATTCATGACAACGCTTCTATCCCTAAGGTCATAAACACATACTGGAGCTCAAGAACTCTGTTTTAAATTCTGTTCACAGCAGAAGCAATTTCCTAGTGTGCAAAGTGCTGTCAGCAGCTCTGATGTTTGCGTATGAAATATAGACAATATGACTGGCCCATCGGCAGCCATGTCAAGCTGATGGATGGTGCCTGTAAAGAAGTAAAGCGACTGCTGTTAGGGCCAGTCTATCAGAAGCTTGAAGGAGATTCAGACTTAATAGCGGTAAAACTCTTATAATCGGCAAATTTCCTCAGATGATGGGAAAAGGACAAATCAGAAGTATAAAGTGCAATTTCCATTTCTGGTATAGTATGGCACAGACAGCATAGACAGGCAGACATAAAATACAATAGGTATGTTCATGAGCTCAGCTAATTCACAGCATGTTCAGGATAAATTAAATTTGTACATATCACAGCTTATTTATATTTCATATGCAACAACATTTCCTAAAAATATTTGAAGCTCTGACAGCAGACTTGTATATGTCAAACTGCAAGCATGCACACTGATGAATTAAAGACAAAATGGCTTTAAGGGATTGTATTCATCTTTATGACAGACCCAATACATTTGTTTCAGCTCAGAAATTAATTTTCTAATATTAAAAAAAGGTCAAACTGAACTATGTAGAAGTCTCAGATATTTCTTCATCTTCAGCATATTATCTCAAATGGCTTTGTCAGATATAACTTGATAAGATTTGGATGATATGTGTTCGTGTGAATCAAACGATCAAAATGAATTCCTTTCAAATTCCACAAATATATTAGACACTATTGAACAAGAAGTGGCTCCCCTCTACTTCAGGGGCGTTGTGTTCAAGATACATAAATATTTAATAGACTTTTTAAAATGTTGATTTTGGCTGAATGATAATTAGAAACTGAACTTCCAGATAATATCATCACAAATTGCTACTACAATTTTAAATAAATCAAAAAAATTCACATTGTGCTGTTCAGATTCAAGGGCCAAAATTCCAAATTTTTGCTGAAAAATGTGATAAGTCCATATTTGCTAGCTAAAAACAGTGAAATATGTAATTTTTGAAAAAAGAACAAATAATTTCAATAAAAAAATACAGTCACAATACTCCTGAAATAATGATATCATCTTTCATTTATGAAGCAGCTAACAAGTGACTTAAATAGTGTAGATATCAGAATGTTGACTAATTCAACTGTGGAATAATTGTAGATAACAGATCGTTGCTATCAGAACACAATTTAGTAACGGTATCAATTTCAAATCCTCGTAAATCCTGTAACAGTGTTGTAAGAATATTATTGACTGGGGAAGATTGTTCCTTCAGTATGCAAAGAAGGTAGTATGCAAATATCTTATTTTACAGTGAATACTGTCAATGAAAGAGCAGATGTGAGCAAATAAATTCATAAACTTAAGGAGTACAAAGATAAGTCATGAATAATGCGATAAATTAGAAGCATAGAACATAATGAAAAGTCGTAGCTGAAGAAATTTAAACAGAGTATTAACAAAAATGCAAAAAGATAAAACAGAAGTGAAAATAAGAGGTTATGCAATATACATTTCATATATATAATTATGGGAGAGAAAATCTAAATAGGAAGAAATATTCATGTGCTAAATCAATGGTATCAGTTCTTACTGCTCACCGCGATAAAACCTGCGGATGATTGGAATTTATGACAGATGATCATGTTAGATGTTTTAAAAGATGGAACAGGTGGTAGATCTGAAAACCTAATCCATGATCCTAGATATAAATGAGCTATTTTCAAGTCATTTGGGTGAAACAGTTTGAAAAGTTGTAGGAACTGTGGAGCTCAGAAGACAGAAAGGATTTTAGTGTAGAATGTGGTGCTTTATTAGACCTATGAACTCTCCAAGAATCCTCCCAAAATGGTGGTCGAGTATAAAATGTGAACCTACAATGTAGTTGTGGATGGTCACCATTTTGAGATGCAAAAAACAAACATTGTTAATTCACATTAAATTAATATGGCACAGATTACTGACTGAATGATTTGCACAAAGATACTTCTGATCTCAATTAACATGTTTTACAGCCATCAAATTCATGGTCTTTATGTCCGATCCAAGGAGTTGATCAAATTCATTCTGAATCACTTTGGCTATGCATCATCATAATGGTTCCACTCTGGGTCAGATATGACAGATACACTTTCAGAATCATCCCTCCAGGAATCCCTCATTTTCCTCACCAAGAATTCAATTGGATATTTCACATTTTTTGAATGATGTGAACATTCTGTACACCAATCGTATCCCACAATTTGGAAATGAAACCAAACTTCAAAGGAGTAGCATGCATACTTCCATTCTAATACCATTCATTTATTCCATGTGGTATGAACATGATATTTGACTGACTTGTTGAAACACATATTCAAATATTGGACTACAGACGTTAGATCACCTTGACATAACTGCAATGCATGTGTTATTTATTCACAGGCACCACTTGATCTCAATTGTTATATGGGATCTCATGGTAATTAGCTGCGTTCCTTACGCAGGCCCCTGTGGTGCCTATTCCATCATGCCTTCATCCATGAAGTCATTCCTTCTTTATCCGTTCAACCACTGTCAGGGACATGCATTAAACCTCCTGCAGGGAACATGACGTTCAGCATGGATTTACATTTGAAAATTGCCAAAGAATTTAATTTCCTTCTATCAGCTATGCTATCATGCATCTTATCATGTCGCGCTTATCATTTTTACTTGAAATGTTTTAGAACTTTCCACTCCGCAGATTGGTGGCTGAGCATATCAAAATTCATGGGTGTTTTATCCATGTTGCGAGCGTCATTTAACGAGTATTAGTGTTTTGGTAACTGTCAGATGAGGAATCATTGAAATTGATCATTTTGGCATCAAGGAATTTTTTAGAAGTTTCTGAGCAATCTTGGATTTCTGCTGCAATACTAAATTGTTTCCACCAACTAGCTGTTGGTTTTAAATATTTGCTGGACTGAGGTTTTGATTTGGCCCACTTAAGTTTTACATATGTGTTACATTTATGAAGGAAATAAATCATTCCAATGGCTTTTGAGGATACATTTGATTCATGCTTTTCTAGATCAGATTAGTGTGGGTCCCTGTTCTCATGACACATTTGGTCTTGGGCATCTTCTTAAGGGTTAATTCTTTTTTCTTCCATTATCGCCCCAGTTTTTCACTAATACCTATTCTCTCTCTGCAGCACAGCTATTTGATGAGTTTGAAAATGTTACATATTTTAGCTTTAAGCCAGCTTTGCACTTCATTCATTTTGCTGGAGGATCTATTTCTGTTCATCATTCGCATAGTCTCTTCTATGTTGAACTTTTTAAAACTCCTCGCGTTTCTTCTTCACCACACAGCCTTGTGTTGCCTGATTATGTACGCTGACTTAGAGTACAAGCTAAGTAAAGCGCACGTTTCTTGGGTAAATTTAGTCTGACTACTCATTCAAGTGTAACTTTTCATAGCAGAACAGAGGCGTCTGTTTGCATGTTGACTATGTGTAAAAGCATAATACTTGGTGCTGAATAAATGGGGGTGTCTTATATTCCAGACTGAGGTATACGTTGCGATCTATGCAAGCTTCATTTTATGATTTGAAAGACAATTCTTGATAAAACCCACTCACTGATTGTACACAGTCGACGTGGTTGATGTGGATGGCTGAACAATGGTAATTTTTCTTGCCTGAAGTTATTGACCATTTTTTCTAGGCTCATCTTGGCTGACAGAGCAATGTGCCCTTATCTCTTAGGTGACAACAATGTCTCTTACCTTGTGCTAATCTAGTTAATCAGCCTTAATGTAATATAATCTGTTATCTTACTATTATGTGATAAACTATTTCTTGTTACTCAAATACATACCTCTTCTATCTAAGAATTACCAGTGGTTAATCCTTCACCACCTAATACTAGTAAGCCCTGTAGACTAGTATTACAAGGAGGGTTGGAGGCAGCAAATCCACCCAAAGAAGGTCCTAGAAGAACTAAATGTTA